ACTGGAAATGCCTTTTGGTTAAACTTTCAGCAAGGAATTTGCATTCGCACTGTTAAATTTCTATATAGCTTTAATGCATCTAAAAAAACGGCTGCTTGTTTAAGTGAAAATAAGTGGATGGCATTTTTTTGTTGTGGAGTTGTATTTTGTCTCGCATCACTTATATCGTTATCGCAAATTTTCAAATATATATCGTGATAAATATTTTTGGCCATATCGCCCTGCTCTAATAGCAACATCAAGAAGAAGTAACACAAGAAGCTCGAGAGATGTGGAGTGTTAAAACAACATTGGTCCCCATGAGCACAGTGACCTCTGTGGGGCAGTGACCCCCAAACTAGGTGAGTGGCTTCAGCAGACCCCAGAGTGCAGTCCTAGATACTAGTCAGGGTCCTGTCTAGTAGAGGCTCTAAGACTGCGCTTTCCTGGACGGAAATCTTGGATATCCCTCCTGGGATCTGCTGAAGCCAAGGGGTATTAACTAGAGTATGTGTGTGTGTGTGTGTGTGTGTGTGTGTATGGGTTTGTTTATTTGTTTTCTCCATTTAGGACTCATTGATGTCATTGTTTTCCTTAATATTTCAGTCGGACACTTACCTTTGCATGGCATTTCCAGTTCCAACTAGGCAAGATGCATATATTGGTGAGTTTTATCTTTTATTAATTTATTATATATTATAAAACCTACAGTGATTGGCAATTACAAAAAAAAAAAAATTCTAGCTGACCTATAAGCTGGATACAAAGTAATAATGACAAGTTCAATTTATATCAACAGTTGAAATGGAAATTTTAAAGGCATCATTGCTATCACATGGTGTCACCATGATTACCTTTTGTATATCTCTTGTGTAAATTTATTTTCACAATATAATATTTTATTAATTTCACTAAAAAAAATTTGATAAAATTTCATGTTTTGAAACATTTTTCAGGGAACTAAGTCATTGCTAGCTTTAAATTAATTAGAGGGTGGTGATGATCTTTCTCCGATTGACCAGTCTGATGTATTTTCAAAGAATCAGGCTGTTAGTCGATAAGGCGATTTGTTATGTGTGAACTTCACTGTCAATTTGAAGTGGAAATTTTTAACCAGTGTTTTTCTCTTCAGTGGACTTCATACCTCTTGCCAGTATGGATACAGTCCATCACATGCTGCTGTTTGGCTGTCAGACCCCTGTGTCCACCCACAGCTTTTGGTAATGCCCAACTTTAAATTAATTTTGCTAGTGTTTTTGTTGTTAGGAAAAAAGCCAAGACCCAGGAACAAAAAAAAAGGACCTTGCGTAAGAAGTGCAAGTTAAGCCCCTTTTTTATTATTACCTACTCGAATAGATTTGCCACAGTTCTCCATGCTTTTCAGGGGTTTCTATTAGGTCATAGTACCAGGTACTGAAATACTGTCTGCTCAGCTGGGTTTTTAAAGTGATCAGAGCAGGTACTAAAATGTAATAATGTGCGATACCACTGATTTCCTTTCCGATCTGATACCAAGTAATATTCAGGGTGGTATCGACGATACTGATCCGATACCGATACTTTGTACAAAAACTTATTTTATTTATTGTATCTCAAATTATAGCATCATAATGATTACAGGATATCAGATTACTTGTTCTTATCACTTAATAATGCAGAATTATCATGTAGAAATAAAAAAAAAAAAGTTGTGCGCTATTTGAACACCTTGTCTGCCTGCAGCATAAAGTACTCCGTTAGAGAGTCTGTCTCACCCTAGCAGCACCTGTCCCTCTCCTCCTGTTCAGTTTGCCTCAACATACGCTCGTCATATTCCGTGATATGATTTACTCTGAGGTGTTTGACAAGGTTAATGATGTTTTGCCACAACCATACATGCCAACCCTGCTGATTTTTCTGGGAGAATCCCGAATTTCAGTGCCCCTCCCAAAAATCTCCCGGAGCCACCATTCTCCCGAATTTCTC